GGGGACAGCAGTGAGCTTTCCTGCGCTATTTACTGTGCACTGCAGTAAATGGCGCTGCTGCGGTTCGAGGAAGTATATTTTTTGAACCACACAGTGATGTAGGTAGTCAAGATGCTTTCAATTCTGCCTCAGTAGAAGGAGCACAAAATCAGCACCGGGGCTCTCGCTCTCCTCAATCTGCAGAGGAAGTTTACTGTGTGTACTGTCTTTTTTGACCATAAATGCATTTTTGTTTGTCCAGGAAAGGTCATCTGTGTTATGCACATCCATAAATTTGGTGCTGCTCACCCTTTCCACAGCAGAACAATCCCTTTTGTTGTCTCCACATTTAAGAAGTCATTATTGCCACTGTACCACACGACCAGTTGGTTGGCCTCTCTGTGTTGTTTTTTTGGTGAGACCACATTACGTTTGTGTCATCCACAAAGTTAATGAAACCACATGCTTGGAGGACTGCAGTGCTCAGCGTGATGGTGGTCGATGTGTTGTTGTCGACCCAAAGTGCTTGTGGTCCCCCATTGATGAGGTCTATTATAAAGTGAGGTGTTCGGGCTCAGCGGGTCCAGTTTGCATACTAACTCCAAGGGGGATGATTGTGTTGAATGCCTAGCTAAAGTCTATGAACAGCATTCTGATGTAAGTTTTATTTTTTCATGTGTGTGTGTGTGTGCGCGTGTGTGTGTGTGCGCATGTGTGCCCTGGTGGGTGAGAGCTGAGTGGAGGAAAAAGGAAGCAATGTTACTGTCAAAGGTCTCTGGTGGGTGTTTGTAGTCCGTGATGGTCTAAATGCCTTTCCCCAGACTCCTAAAGCCTTTCCTATCTCTGCAGGAGTAGCGGTGTTTGGCTCTTCTGATGCGACATGTGACAGGTTGACCCTGGCTGCCCTCAGACTGTCAGCAGATCTGAAAGCAGTATCCCTGGCTTTAAGTAGTCTGTAGACTTCCTTATCAGCCATGACTTCTGAATTTCCTGTATACTGAATATCCTGGTGTGTCATACAATTATTATATTTGGTCAAAGTGTCAGTGTTGTTGGTTAAGTAACTGTCTGCTTCAACATGACCCAGCCTGTTGAGAAAAAGCAGTCCTGAGGTGCTTCAAATACCAACGCACTTAAGCTTCTTCTGCTTTGTCTCACAGTGTTTGCAGTATTTCCTTTCTGAATGGAAAGAAGTTACCAAGTTTGGTGTTGTGCTGGGCTGGCAAAGTAATGCAAGGCCCTGAAGTCATTATGTTAGCGTGCAGTCTAAGTTGTTATTTGTCATTCCGTTGATGTCTGGCAGAACCCAACTACTACACAACTATTTGCATACCAACAAAGACAACTGTGACAACCTTGTGCACGTTTGACTTGGCCTTATCTGCTTCACACTTAAGATTTACAGACTGTTCACAGGATAACAAATAATTATGTTAGTGGTAAGCTGATCATAAGTTGATCATTTAACCTGTGACTTAAACAGCTTCAATCAACATCTGAGAGCTGCCCAAGAGATGACAGAATACACAGAGAGACTGGAGGAAGACAGTTGAGCAGTCTGGCTAAGGAACACAAGTAAGCCTTTGAAATAGCTTTTTAGGATTTTCTGGAAGAAGCTTCCCTCATCATAAGCACTCACCCTCCCTTTTATAGCCACAATCCAGGTCACTCAGGCCAGCCTGATCTTAATGGAACCAGGGTGATGGCTCAAAGTTACACCTCTATGTAATACCTGTGGCCACAGTTTAAAGGTCTGTCCTATAATCTCAGTAAACTATACTGCTTTGGTGAGAGACCCCTAATCTCAGAGCTCCAAAAGCAAACCCAACTGAGTTTCTGGAACAGCTTAAACATTTGAAGGTTGCTTGGCACTCCGAGTTTTGAGGACGAGAGACAGGTGGGCTGTTTAAGCAAAGAAATGTACATTTTTCAATTTTCTAGAAAAAAAAACATATTTCATTTATCTGGTGGATATCTGTCTTCATATTGCATTCCACAATTTCTGCAGCATGCATGAGTTATATTGACTGTATGAAAAATAAGAAAGTCACTGCATGCACCATTTTCTGTGGATTGTTGCTAGGTGACCAAATAATTTCCAAAAGCCATACATTTAACTAAACCTAAGGTATTTTGTATAGTGTTGTGTAACGTGTGGACTTTATGGCTTTGTTTATTATTGTTTTAAATGCCATTATGGCACTTTTATCATTGCCATCAAATTGGTATTTCTTTTTTTTGTTGTTGTTGTAAACTATAGTTTATTTTAAAATAACAGTAATGCAGTGGGGCAGCAGCGTGTAGGGACAGTACCTTGCTCAGGGGTACCGCAGGGTAACCATTCAGTGGATTCGAACCCCCAACCTCCCGATCATGGGGCAACCACTCTACCTGCTGAGCTATCCCTGCCCCAAATATGAACTAACTAGTCAGTTTAGAATGTTTTGTATCATTTGTACCATTTTTTTTAATAACCAGTGTACCATATACCCATAACAACCATTTCTGCTAATTCCAGTTTATCGCAAAAACAAGCCTGAACTGTGTAATGCAATCATCTGGAGTTTACTAACCTTTTATTGCACAACAGTCCCATATCTTGTATATGTTAGTATAAACTGATATATTATAGTCCCTAAATTGTTAAATTGCGGACAGAAAAAAGACTTAAAGGAAACATCTTAACCCTTGACCCCTGTCCTGAGTGCTTCTTGAGACTTTGTTGTGCTGTGGTGGATATTGTGACGGGTTGACTTTTTCTTTCCTTAGATATAAGTGTCACTGCAAATCAATAAAACCTTTATCTGTAATCCAATGTATTCAGTTACTGAACAGGTTTATCCTGATGTGAGAATTCGCTTCCAAACTGACAATGCCTCCATCCAAAGGGCAGATGAAACCACATCTCAGTCCAATTAAACACCTATGGATTTTGTTGAACGAAGATCTTACATGTTTTTCACACAGACAGAAACACCTGCAATTCACTTAATTTACAATAAGAAGCCAGGGGGCTATGAGTGTAGACAGGGTGTCAGTACTGCTTCTGGCCACAGTCCAGGGAGACTTCTGGGCACAAGTATGGAAGATGCCTACATGTCATCAAGATGGAAAAAAAAAACTTTAGACATGACACTATGCCATATTTTTAAAACTAAATGCTAAAGAGTTTAATTTAGTATTAATGACCCAGTAACTAACAATTAGCTAAAGTGTCATTTAAAATTCAAGCTACAAAGTGATGGAACCAGCCTGATGAAGAAAAAAAAAGGTAATGTAAACGTAAACGTAATGACATGGTCACAAAGTACAGGGAAGCTTTTCAGGCACGGTTTGATTATAGTGCTGTTCTATCCACATACAGTATTACTTCTGCAGCTTTATACAGTCCATTTGTCTTTGACATAAAAGGATGAAAAGACAGTCGAGCATGCAAAGCTATCACTTCACTTCTGAAAGTGCCATTAAATAATCACAATAATGAAAACACCACAGAAATAATGTTCGCAATAAGCCAACAAACTCACGATGGCTGAATCTGTGATGCACTAGATCGCAGTCAGACTGACTTTGATTCAGGAACCAAAGGAACACTGACAGAAAAATGTGTTGACGTCAATGAATTTTAAATTGAATTATTCATTCAGAATCCAAGAACATTCAATGCTTAACACGAGATATAACATAAAATGGTTCATAAATTTCCTGCATCAGTAAATAAAACTAAGCATTTAAAGATACAACTTATAAACATACAAATGAAATCTTTTCTTTTCCTGCTCTTTTATGACCTGTTTGTCAGCGGAGCCTTGTGTAATTAGCTCTCAGCTTGATGCCATCACTGTTCAAAACGGCATCACTTAATGAATATATGTTAATATATAGTAAAGAATAATTTGTTAATGTTTTGTATATTTACAGAAGGTGCGTTTCCTAGGCAATTCATGATTTCTTTTACTTCATCTTGGAAATACTTAGACAGTCTCTGAGCTCTTATTTTGAAAGCTGCTGACCAGTTATCACATGGATAGACATTCATACCGAGGTTTCCTAAACTAACTCCATCATCTTAGAGTGCAACTGCTGGTGAAATTCTACCATGAAGGTTTTTTTATAGCTAAATCCAACCAGGACCTAAAACTGTTTCTGAGTTGTTTCGTGCTCTGTGCAGAAACAGGGACCAGGAGTCCCGCCGCAAACTGCTGAACAATTTGTTTTTCCTTTGACGAAGTCGGGACTCGTGGCGGTTCCGACCCGAACACACATAACTTTAATTTAAAAAAATAAAATAAAAATCCGTGCATCTGGATTTTGGCGATTACAGGCAGATACTGACCTCTGCTGGACCAGTTCTGCTCAGTCAACTGCTCGAAATAATACAATCTTTTGTTTTTTCACAATAACATTTTCCTGTACCAACAATAGCCTTTTGTATGTCTTTGATTCACTTTTTGTTGTGATAGTTGAATTTCAACAGTGTGGGATAAATAAAGTTATATTAACAGGTGTAGAGGTGAAAAATTAAAATGTCACCAAATATATTAAATCTGACCTTTATTCATTTGTTAGGTTTACTGCATAAAACAAACTAAAGACTCTTGTGAAACTGTATGAAGATAATGACACTTTAAAGGCTTTTGGCTTGGAATAAACCTGCCTGGCCTTTCTCTGTGCATAGAGCAGATGACCATGTTATTACATGTATTAAAAAATGCTGGAAACTGCACATTGAAAGCAGTCAGCTTTCAGAGAACTCACAGAGCTCAGATGTTATTCTCATAAACAGTAACTTGGGCATATAATAGACCCAAGTGAACATAAAGTATTGTAACCTTGTATACAGTAACAATATATGTATCATTTTATACAATTACAATGTTTTGAGGTAAAAAAAAAAAAAGCCATAACAAGTCTTTGTCCTTAATAAGTCACAAAATCTCAATGAGGTTTTTCATTTTTAAGACCAGATGTGCGTCGCTTCTTTAGTTGAGGCCAGCTCATTTTCATGTAGGTCTTTTTTCCTGTGGTCCATCCTCTCTTCCTCAGTAGTAATAGCTTCCAAAAACTGCTACCACACAGAACAAGCTGTCCTGTGGAAGGACAATCAGAGTGCTTTTTAGAAAGCGGACTCGAGTGATGAAATTGTGACTGAGCAGAGCACTTACATTCATGAAAACATCCTCTGCATAGCTGTCTGTGTCAGCATCCCAAAAGCACCTGGAAGACATTCTGGGGAGAGAAAAAACACAAACAGAGACCAAGCTAAGAAAATCTTAAAGTTTGAACTACTTAAAAAAAAAAAACTATGTTGAAAAAATGTAAAATAATGGTTGTGTCTTCTTGAGACGGTCCTACCGTTTGCTTTTACTGATACTTCAAATTTTTAGTGACTTTGAATCACTACAGTTTTACCTTAATCAGGTGTTTGCTGATACTGATGATGTAAATATGAAGAGCAGATCTTTGATAATAACCTGAATGATCCGGTCTCCGTTCTCTGGTACAACATACTGTATGACATGTCTAAAAAATACACTGAGCCCTGAGACCTAACCCTAATTCCTGTGTCAAAGTCAGTTTCTGAAAGTCAAGAGCAAGACCAATGTTTCCAGTATCAGATGAAGACTTACTTGACTCCCTGCCCTCGTTGTTCTCCAATGACCACCTGCACAACAAGCTTATATTTGTCAAATCCTGAATCTGTTCACAAAGAGAATAGGATAGTATTTTATATGTACATCCAAAAGAAAAAAAATACTGTGTAATATGAATATTAGTCAATATTTTTTACTAATCAAATTTGTTTAAATGGGAAATAATTCATTAAAATTGTGGGGCCAGGAATTTATGGTGTTATACATTTATTGCTCCAACAGGCTGTTGTGAAGATCCACAATCCTTTTAGTCTTGTCACTGCTGCATTTCCACTGCTGAAACTTTCAGAAATGTTTGCATTCAAACCATTGTGGTACTGGAGCCCTGAATAAGTCAACACGCATCAAAAAGCTAACACCGATAGAAAAAGATAGATCCCCAACACCACTGGGTAAAAATACAGCCACCAACCATGACAGAGCCTCCACCGTGTCTTATAGATGTGTACACACTCACTGTTGTGTCTCTGTTCTGACTGTCCTCGGTCTATACATACTGATGGCTTGAACCAAAAATTTCAAATTTGGATTCATTACTCATTAAGACATGTTGATTTTCAGTCCAGATCTTGTGTCTTGTGTAATTTGGCGTAATTTCAGCCTTTTCTCTCTTTTTCCTTTCTTAAAGAATGGCTTCCTGACAATCACCATTCAGTGAGACCATTTCTGATTAACCTTCAGTGAAGAGCAGATGGATCAGCAGAAGGGGCAGTTCCATCTCTCAGGTCCTGTGTCAGGTCTCTGCAGGATTTTTTTCCAACTTCTTAAGGAAAAAACCTTATTTACCTAAAGATGTCTGAATGACTTTCAGATACAGTTCATCTGCTGTACATAGTTTTTTAAGCCTGGCACATCTTCTTTTATCTTCCACTTCGTCAGTTTCCCCAATATAATGCTAGCACACTGGACACTATCCTAAGATATCCTTGATTTTGACAAAATAACTTGTTGGGAATCACCATGTTGGCTCAAAAAATATTTTATGCCTGTCAAATTATATGTTCATTTTTCTTATATTCAACTAAAGTAATGGGAACAATCATGTGTTTTTGTGACAGGCTGCTTGTAACAAAGTGCCTAAAGACACAATTTAAAACGAGTTCTTTGGCAAGTTTTCTGTTATAAGTAGACACAAACACTGGTTCATCCCCTGAATGGTTTATAGATCAGTGCTAAGTAGTTAACTAGTAGTTAAGTTAAAAATTACGAAAATGATGCAAATGGTCAGGTAAAAAGGACTGGACTGAAAATGAGAGAATAAGTTGGCCATGGCATTCAGAAAGCCTGGAGAACTATTGCTCAGGACCAGTTTTTAAAAATGTAAAAAAGTTTGGCTCCTAAGAAGAAAAATATGAAGAAATGCGGGATGACTCAAGATTTCTGCACAGTACTGAACCTGGAAATCATGACACATATTGGCCTGAGATGTAGTGGTAGCTGCATGAAAAAATTTACATGCAGCAGATTAAAATGCCTCATCTTTACAGGTCTGAGTACCACAGTGGAAATGCAGAAAACAGCCGTTTGAAGGAACCTTTCAGTTACTTGGAAAAAACTGGGTACCTCTACGTGAAACACAAGTTTACTGTTATTTAAACAGATACACAGATGGTTGCCACATTCTATAATTAAAGTGGTCATTATAAGCTGCGGCTAAAATTTTTAGAAATAATTGAATGTTCTGTCCTTTTGACCGCACATGAGAGCGACAATGCTTCACTCACTCTTTACTTTGTCCTTCACAGAGTCTGCCAGTGAACGTGTCAGCTCTGGGACTTCCTCTGGATTGTACTGCACCCCAGACAGTCTCTCCCTCACAATTTCACGAATACACTCCTTCACAACAGCTGGCCTGAACCTGCAAGATTTACAGGAAAACAACAAGACAGCAAATGAACCTTCCAACGAGCACAATGAGCCTCTGATACACAAATATCTTAATAATGGCAACATGCATGCTAATAAACGTCATGTGAACAATACATTCTATATTCAATAGGCTATAAGTTTTTTTTCATTTGCATTTTAAACTTATTTACCTATGGCACTGTATATTGTAATTACATGCCTAAAGTAATCACATTTGAATGCCCTGGTACATCTGCATTGTACAGGAAAAATAGGTAAAGTTCCTGCAGATAAATCTGCATGAACGCTGTAACAGACTAAACTTCGGTTAAAAATTCAAGTTTGCACACGTAACCACATTATTTTGATTGACGAATGGTAGTATTTATACTACTAAACTAAGTTTGACGTTAGATTTCATTTATTCAAGGCTGGAACAACTGCGCAGCTAAAGTAGACCGCGAATCAGCTAGCTAAAATGCTAAATTAAGTTTTCTTTACTTGTGTGGGGAAAAAGTCGTTTAACCACATGAATCAACTCACTTCTGCTGATGATTGGGTCGTATGTGGTAAGTATCGGACTCCTCCATGGTATATGAGTACTCAAACTACAGTATCGAGCAAATAAATGTGAAGAGCGTCTTTAAGAAGCTAGCCAAATGCTACCCGTAACCATGGCGACGTTTTCCCTTGTTTCCTGTTTCAAAATAAGAGTACCGCTTAGCTAACCGGTTCGTTTTTCTTCCGTGTGTACATTAAAGTTGATCAAAAAAAAGCCCGAAAATCACAGAAAATGACGCTACTGGACACTTTTCACAGTTTTTAACACTCGATTGCAGTTTCGATTTAACTCCGCTCTTCTCGGTGACTAGCTGAAAGAAAGTAGAAGCTGTAGTAGGCCTCAACCCGGTTGTCAGTGACACTGCCCCCTGGTGATCGTAAACAGCTACAACATGTGGACAGCTGTCTGCAAGCCTTCCTTCATCATCTTGTAAACCTAAACACATAAACCTTCTACTACTTATGAAATAGTTTCTGTTTCCACCTAATGCATTTATACTCTGTCCCCATTAGTGATGTTTTACTGCCTTTACTCATACATGATTCACACTGTCTTAAAATGATGTTTTTTAATATATGTAATAATTTCAACTACTGGGCTACTCATGGTATCTGCGTGACTTCTGAATGCAGCTGGTTCTAAGGCCTTTTAGCTGCAGCCTGATCAAATCATGCTTCCCATTGCTCAACGTACCTAAAGAAACAGGCCCAAAACTGATAAGATGTGAGTAAATTTGTCTTTAAAGAACAACTTCCAGCTCTGGCAATATACAGATGCAGACACATTTTCAACAGCGATTTCAAAAGTTTTAATTCATTTTTAATTTATGCTTGCTAAATAGTGTCATTATATGTGCAAAATCTGCATCTTTTTGCAATTTTTATTCTTACTTTAAACCACAGAGGTTGTTAGCAAAGAGGCACAAAGATACACTTGTTTCATTTCAGTTGCTCGTTATATAGAACACTTCAGACCAACAGGGGACAAAGAAAAATATAAATCTTAATAATAATAATATACAGTTGTATATGATCTTTCATGTCATTTAGCTTACTTCATTAAACAGAAGACAAATAAATAAATAAACTGCTATCCACCTCAACAACAATGCATTCAACAGAAGAAACAATATCATAAATTCCCAAATTCTTATTGCAACATCACCACTATGTTTTTTTTTATTTTATTTACAAATCATTTTGACATAGTGACTCCTGTAAACATTATGCTACATTTACTGATAGTAGACAATTTTGACTTATGTGCATTTTGTTTGTAAACAGTAAGTTTTCACATGTCTAATCACAAATGGACTTCATGTTTTGCTTGTGCAGAATTTGTGAATTGTATACCCCTCAGCTTTGAAGTAATGACTGAGCACTAACATTACCATTATTTGAGGCAAACAGCATAATTAAAGCCCCCGAATCAGATATTGATAATATAAGTAAATAGATTTAAAACTACAGATTGTTTGTACACACTCCTTTTATGCACCCCTCACAGTGTTCAGGCTCATGGGGACTTTTGACTTCATAGAGTCTGAAAGGTCGGTAGCTTTCCTCAAGGTTTTCATGGTAGCACTTTTGTTTTATTTTCTCCACCAGTTTTTCCATGAGGGTGTTTATGTTCTCAGATTCCACGCTGGGATTCTCCATTGGAGCATTTGGGCACTTCTTGCAGTTCTGACGTAAGGGCCTCACTTTGACAGTGCCCTGCCCATTTCTCAGGCACATGTGGAAGAGCACTTTCACCTTGTTGGAAGGCCACTTTCTTCGACACATGGAACATTTGAAACTTGAAATTAAAAAAGAGAAAGAGAATGTCTGTTTCAGTAGAAGTCAAAATTACTTTTAAAAAATTCAGAATTTTTCTTTCAACCACACAAACTCATGATTTGTGTAAAAGCTGATAGCTGCCCTATGTGTTGCACTCAGAATCACATCTGTAAGTAGTAGAGATGTTGGGTGGAATCAAATGCATTTACAAGGGCAGTGGGAGGAGATATAACTGAGCTTCTCATGCTTAACTGTGTCCCCTCTGATGGATGAATGTGTGATCCATATGATGTTTATGTTTAAATTTGTTTTAAAAAATTACTATCGAGCTATGAAAGTTGAATATATTTCAAAGGGAAGAAGCTTGTGCTTTTTATGTTTACTCAGCTTTTTTGTTTTATTTAGAGAATACTAAGTGGAAACTTGTGGATGGATAGGTGAATATGACCATAGTATATTCATTACAGTGTTACAGTGATGTGCCACCACAGTAATACAATACATGTCATAAAAGAAAGAGGAAAATCTAATAAATATATCTTTAGATGTAACTGAGCAGACCAAATTATTAGCTTTTTGGCTAATTAATAGTGTAATAATGACATTTGAAAAGTGAAGAACAAGAACATAAAAGGAAAACAAACCATCTGATGTTACTTATTCCAGTTTACACAATACCAGACAGAGCTAGAATCGCTAGAATAGCTCTTAAAGGCAAGTATTGGTAGACTAAAATCTGTATTTAAGTTGTATTTATACCACTTCCAATTATTTCCCATCATTCAAACTCTGGAATTGTACCAAACAAGGAATGAACAAATATTCCTTAATAACTAAAATGTATTGATGTTGTACTTTTATCACGTACATTGCGTAATGTAAGGCATATTAATGTAACACAAATATACAATAGTGTAAATATTAACACTCATGCAAATACTCAATGCAAACCTGCTGCAGTAATTAACAGTTGTTCAGCATACTGACCTTGCACTTGTGTTCCTGATGTACTCCTTCCAGTCCAAGTTTGGCTTATTGGGCTCAATATTTTCATCATATTGTAATTCCCAGGAGTCTCCTTGCTTAAGATCTTCTGCTTTAATCTGAAAGATTTGTGTCCATTCTGGTGACATCTTTTCAATTAAATCGGCTGAAGAAGAAAGAAACCCCTAACAGCTGATCTGTACTGTAAACAAGGAACTCGTGAGAATGACTCCTCAAGCTGCGAACTTTAAATAAGGCTGTACCAGCTGAGAGGAAACCAAAAGCTACCAGTGCAAAGCAGGCTTCCTTAAGTTTCAGTTATGGTTTATACAATGAACATCAGAATATTAGATGGCGAATCATTAGATTGTAAGTGAAATGAAACTGAAATGTTTTGTAGCAACACTGGAACCTGCTGGTTTATGCTGGTTTTTGGTTTAGCCTTTGTGCACACATTTGTTGTCAGTCACTACTTTGAGTGAAATATTCTCACTCTGGCAAAAATAAATAAATAAATAAAGTGGTGAACATGTAAAATTAACATCTTTTTTGCTCTTACGTTACCAGAAAAAGCAAATAAATAAATGAATGTTATATATTCTTATTCTACATTATTATAATTAATGACTCCATAGTGTAGAGTTTCACACATTTGCTTAACAAGTAAAAGATTACCTGCTTGAACATGCGCACAGACATATGCAGAGCTACCTGCTACCAGGGAGAAGCTACAAAAAGAAAAACAAAATCAGTAGAGTGCAGGTATAGTGCTGAGTTGAGTTATAAGCACGATGATAAGAATCACGTGTTCACTAATGTTTTTTATCAGCTCTTTTTTTCCACTAATGTTCACTAATGTCTTTTTTTTTATACACAGTGAAAACATTTTGCACATTTTCGTCACACCGACTAAGTGCAAAAAGTATAGCAATACAGAAAAGCCTTCTGACTCTACCTGGGCAAAGAGGAGCATGGAGAGCAACCAAAAGGTGTCAGTGTTGCTTAACAAGAAACGCTTTCAGTATCGATTGTACAAAACTGTAACTGAAAGTTAAGATAGCGTGTTTTACAGTTGTAAGTTTTGTCTTCCCCACAAACTCTTCTGGCAGAGCCACAGTCAAAGTTCGCAGCTTGAGGAGTATGACTCATTCTCACCAGTTGTTTGTTTACTGCACACATCAGCTGTTAGACTTATCCTTCTTCTTCAGCTACCAGCGACCACTTTAACCTAAAAGATGCTGCCACCTGAATGGATACGTATCTTTCGTATTAAAGCACAGAGTCTTAAACGAGGAGACTCTTGGTATTTAGAGTATGATGAAAATATTGAGCCTGACAACCACCTAGACATGGGCTGGAAGCAGTACATCAGGAACACAGGTGCAAGGTCAGTGTGGTTTGTATATTCAGTATGGTATATTTCATAGGTTAATATATAAAAATATAGTTGCATTATGCCAATTACTGTGCATGAAGATTGCAACATTAAAGATGAGGGAATAAATGTAGCTGCTAAGGAGGCTTAGTGCATTAAAAGTAAAAAGAATATTCCAGAGTTTCAATGATGGGAGCATATTTTTTAGACTAGCAACACTAGAACTGAAGATGTAAGATGGAGCTGACATCATTTGTTTCGTTTCACTTCCTTGCGTGGGTGCCGTCTCGTTAAAAACAATTCGATGCAAGTTTAAACTTGTATTAAAAATAATCATATAATCACTCTAGACTCTTCTAGTAAAGTAACACATGCTCTTTTTCATTTCCAAGGTTTAAATGTTCCATGTGCAGAAGAGAATGGCCTTCCAACAAGGTGAAGGTGCTCTTCCACATGCGCCTGAAAAACGGGCAGGGCACTGTCAAGGTGAGGCCCTTACGCCAGAACTGCAAGATGTGCTCCGAAGCTCCAATGGAGAATCCCAGCGTGGAATCTGACAATGTGCACATCCTCATGGAGAATCTGGTGGAGAAAATAAAACAAAAGTGCTACCATAAAAACCCTGGTGGACGGAAGCGGTATTTCAGAAGCTTTGACGTTGACAGCCCGCATGAGCCCACACATTGTGAGGGGTGCATCAAAGGCGTGTGCACAAAATGAGCTGCTTTTAAAGTCAGCCTGTTTCTGTTCGATCATAACTTTGCCTTCTTTCATTCTGTTTTATTGTATTTCTTCTTTCTGTAATAAGCAGATGCACATTGTTGTATTTATCCTTTATTTGTGCTTGGTAGCAGACAGCTTTACCTAATATATTGCTTTGTTTGTTAAAAACGTTAATTAGCACAAAAGCTCTCATACATTTACAAATGAATTAAATAAGTCAAGATTTAAATATGACATGAAGGTCTACAGGAGTCACTTTTCACATTTAAATTCGTATTTTCTGATTTTGTAAATAAATAATACATATTTTTGAAAAAAACTAAGCATGACATTATTGTTCAAGAGAGGTGGGCAACATCTTCTTTTTTAATTTGATTTAGAGCCACACACACAGCTTACACATGAAGCATGGTACATACCATGAATTTTGGTAAATATAATACATTGTTTTACAATGAGCCTGGGTAATTTTTTCAAAGAGAAAAAAACACCATTCTTCAAGAAAAAATATGCAAAGATATTATTGGATTGGTATTTTAAGAACAAACATGTGCATGTTCATAAATATTAACAAGTACACTTTCTCCTATGTTACTTTTTTAATTGTAAAAAAAAGGAAGGGGGGGTGAACACGTGCTGTTGTCTCAGACGATATTGTTTTCTTACAAAAATTAAAAAAAATGAAAATCTTCTGGAAATGTATTTTATTTCTCCATTTTTTTCAAACTCGTCAGTGCAAGAGGAGACTTTAGTGCATCATGTTTACTGATCCTGCAACTGTAGTTAAACTGCCTTTATGAAGTGTTTGTAGTGCAGACAAAGATAATACAAAGAATAAATAAAAATCTGCCTTTAAATTATAACTTACTGTTTTTCATGATTTAGAAAAAGATATTCAAACATCAGTGCAAGCCCCCTAAACCTTATAACTGGTTATGTCATCCTTTGGCAGCATGAACTGCAATCAAGCATCTGTGGTAACTGCTGATGCGTTTTTAACGTCACTGTGGAGGAATTCTGGCCCACTGTTCTTTGCACAATTGTTGAAAAAAGGAAAAGGTTATCTGATAGGAGGTTTTGCATGAAAGCAAAGTCAACCTGTTTGTCACACAGCAACACCTCTTCATTTGCCTGTGATCAGCAGGTGTGGCACTGACATTGCTGTGGTCAGTCCTCAACATTTTTCGAGTCACACACTGAGGTACAGTACATTACCTGCGGTTTATCTGCATGTTGTCTGAAAACACCTACAGGCAAAGCACTTGCCCTGCCTTTAGTTTTGCCTGCTCCACAACTTTTCCATGGGTTTGTCCACATCACGTTTTGTTTAGTGACATTATGTATATCTTGGCCATGAAGGCTGACTTAGACTTGCGAGAGTTAGTTTCCCAGATAAGTAGAGACACACTTTAGGACTGTAGGCGCTGACTAATAGGCCTGACAGCAAAATTTTTTGAATGTGTCCATTTTTGAGAAGATTATTATTCACTAGTATATCAAAGAACAGTTTCCAAAGCAGCTGGAATACAACAATTTCACTTTCAAAATGGTAAGGTATACCTGCATTGTGTTTATGTTATGTTATTCCTTAGGATCAATACAGCATCACCAATTCAATACATCCTCTGTTACTTTATTTAAACATTTCATCATTTAACCATCAGACCTTTTGATTGTACTTGCTTTTATTCAAGGGTCTCCTGTCATCAATCAAGTCTACCCTGATTATTTCCCTCAGTATCTTCATGCCAGGTGAGAATTTTCTGAACAATACTATGAGTATTTGAGTTTCATTTTCAACAACAGGTCAGCATCAGTTTCAAAAAGAAAAAGTCTAGAAGAAAGTTTTTGGTGTCTACTGAACAATGTTTGTGTAACATAGTAAAAGAACTTCAGGATTAGTGAAATTATCTTGTACTGAGTTATAAATTGGAAATTCAAATCAATATAGAATTCATTAAATTCCAAATGATTTCTACAAAGTACAAGATGAACACAGATTTTTTTTTTCTTGTTAAAATCTTATTGCAAGCCAAACATTGCAACATAATTACACTCAATATTATTTCATTGTCTCATCAGCTTTTTGCAGTAATTACACCATTAGCTGCTCTCAGCCAACCCAACCTGCCCTGCTGGAGGCTCTGTCTCCGGTCTTTGACTTGAGTGACATACGGCCTGTGAGGAACATGTCAACATGCACCAATGTCACTATTTTCTTCACTCTGTATGGGATTCTAGGGGTGGTATGTTCACCGATCAGAACATCACATCACATAAAATGTAACAAGTGTGTATACAGACTGCACTCTAAAACTCTTTAAGTAAAGGCAAAATACTTAGAGAAATGGATAAATCATATCCACATTGCTCAAATGATTCTCTTTCCATAGCAACACCAATGTTTTTTAATCCCTTGGCATATACTGGGTTGTCTTTCAGGATGAAAAGGCACAACTCTTGACCGCTTACATTTGGCTACAGTGTGTGAGTACTGCAATGATCCGGCTACATTTGTTCTTCTGTGATACAGGAATAATGTTTTTTAAAACATCATGATGACGTGTAGCATGCGTGATCTATCCATTGTCATGAGTTTTGTTCTTTTAGTTGTGGATAAATGAATTTGTCAGCTGGGACCCAGTTCAGTGTGGTACAGACATGATGGCTCTTCCCTCAAGCCAATTTTGGATTCCCGATATTGTAATCAATGAATTGTAAGTGATATATTACCAAGCCTGTGCCTCTCAAAGCATACACATATTATAATCTATGGAACCAAAACAAGTCTTTTCCTTATATTTTCCTAATAATAAATACATTTTGTATTTGTCTTTGTTAATGTTTGACCATCTTACAGCAATATTTATTACATGTAACTGTGCAGTTGCTATGTTTTTTATAGGTCCATAATTGTCTAACTACTAGACACTGTAATTCTTAGCAAATGTTCAAATAGGTGCCATGTTTGTTATTCACGCCATCATTTTTCTAATTGTTCTTACAGTATGGAGGAAAACAAGGCACCGCCTGTTCCCTATCTGTACCTGTACAGTAATGGTCAAGTGAATCTCGCTATACCTGTCAGAGTTGTTAGTTCCTGTAACCTCAATATCTACACCTTCCCCTTCGACATACAAAACTGCATTTATACCTTCAACTCCTACTTGCACTATGGTCAGAAAATATTTTATACATATACATTACATGTGGACAATTAGTGAGCTCACCTTTAGCTCAGTATTTTCCTCTTTGCTTTTCCACAGCATCGGATATAAAGATTTATCTTGGAAGATCTGCAGAACTAATAACACAGATCTCCCAGAGTGTGATGGCCACCATGGGTGAATGGGAGCTGCTGGAAATCACCGCCAATAAAGTCAATCATGATGGAGAGAATGAGAATCTTTATTATGATGAGCTTGAATTTCAAGTAGGTGGATTGCAGTGCCAATAAACTGCTGTAATTAGGCAGAAAGGAGCACATACTTGGGCTTGTTCACATACCTCGTATTAATGTGTCCATAATGCCTGTTTTGTAAATCCAACACAGCTAAAATCACGATTTGCTTACATACACGATCCACTTGGTCACGATAAGAAGATTTCACAGCTTGGTCATACCTGACCAAGTTTTCCCTTATTGTACAGATCAGATTGAAGCGCCGGGCCACTATGTATGTGGTCAACCTCCTCCTCCCCAGCTGCTTTCTCATCACAGTTGACCTCTTCAGCTTCCTGCTGCCACCACAGAGTGTGGACAGGTCCGCCTTCAAGATGACCCTCATCCTCGGCTACACCGTCTTCCTGCTCATCATGAATGACCTGCTGCCGGTCACCGGAAACACCATACCCCTCATAAGTTAGTGACACTCAACAAAATGTCTACGGTGATTTCTTGAAACTGTTTGTAGTTATGTTTTTTAATTATTAACTTATCCTATACTAAAAATATATATATATATATACTTATATATATATATATATATATAATATGAAAGGTACTGGTTAAAGAAAGTTAAGGGAATCCTTACATCCCATATCAGACCTCGATCTTATAGAGTCAAGTTGAAAATCTGTACTCACATACATACTGTAATGCAGTATTAGCATTGTATACTTATATACTTGTTATAGATACACATACATAACATGTGTGAAATAGTCAAATCAATATTATTATGTCCAAATTTGTAAATAATGTTCACTTTTTTTAAAACTATATTTACATATGCATTTAAAGAACAGCTTTTAAGATAAAAATATATAGATTAGTGGCTTAGACTGTGACATTGTAAACTTGTATTGTTTCTGGGTTCCTTTGTCTCTCTGTAGACGTGTTCTTTTCTCTCTGCCTGGCTCTGATGGTGGCCAGTCTGCTGGAAACAATCCTCATCACCAACCTGCTGTGTGGGTCTGCTGACTTCTCTCCTGTCCCTCACTGGATGCGAGTCCTTGTTCTGCAATTTCTGGGTGTTATTGTTTGTATGCCACGAATGAATAAGAAGCCAAGAGTTTCAGGTATGTCAAACATAAGTAACGAGTTTAGAAATCTAAGGTTACAAGATTAGGTGACTATGAATATTTCTTCTTGACTTTGCTTAGAAATAGACCTTAAGACCAGGACTGCTGTGGCAGCTATTGAAACTTATGTGGGGCTTCAAGAGCCAAAGGGGCAATCAGCGGAGGACCTGGCTGTGTATGAACTCAAGAAACTGGGCAAGGACCTCCAGGCCATTCGCCTGAAGGTTGATCAGGAGCTAAAGGACAGCCAAAGCTCAGAGGAGTGGATGCAGGTGGGTTTCATCATAGACCGCCTGCTGTTTGGCCTCTACATTCTCTTCATCTCGGTCAGCTTTATCACCATCATCATTATCTGGGTGAACTCGTACAATAAGTAGACAACTGCCATGTGTTTTAAAGCTCTCCATTTGTGCTAGTGGGTTGAATGTTAGTGCATTTTGACCAAAATTTTGTCATTTTTGTAGATGGTGTGAAAAACTACCTTCTTAGAGCACATTTATGCAGTATGTATAGTATAGTTATACTGTATTTTGCATTATTGTTTCATACTGGACTTTAAATTAGCTCTGCTGCATTTATAATCATTCATCTTTACCCTTCTGTGTTGTACTGTACAATTTTTAAATGGAGGAAACCACTGTATACAAAATAAAACGTCTGTAAAATTTAATTCAATTTGTGAGTGACATTCATTTCGAAACGCACAATCATATCCCTGTGTAGATTATATAAATGGTATTATATAGTATAATGGTTTCCTTCTAAGTACTTCAGACTACAAGCTGCACTTGAATCATACATTTAACCCTCTTTAGACTGTGGGAGGAAGCCAGAGCACCACACCTATCGAGCCACACAACATAAAAAGTTCACACAGACAGGTCCCAAAGCAATCACGTTCAAACAGGGAATTTAGCTTTGAGACGTTATGCCAATCATGGCATCATCTTCTGCTTTCCATTTGATATTTAAAACTTCCAGTTTCAGCACTGTAGTTTTTGTTTAACACAAAGGTAGGCTATATGGGATATTCTTTATTATTATTATTATTTATGTTTTATTGCTTTTCTTATTTATACAGCATGTACAACAATACAACTTAATTACAGTGGGGGGGACAAAATAAAACAAAAAAACAAACGGACAAGAGGAAAACAAAACAAAACTGAAAAAAACAAACAAACCAGAAAATACAATGAGATTATACAAAATCGGGCCTCCCATTTTGTACATATTTCAACCATTTCAACCAGTAATCCTCAAATGAGTCCGCCTGCAACTTTAGCCTAAAAGTTATTCTTTCCATTAAAAAAATAGTCTACAGGGTGGGCCATTTATATGGATACACCGTAATAAAATGGGAATGGTTGGTGATATTAAAGTCCTGTTTGTGGCACATTAGTATATGTGAGGGGGCAAACTCCTCAAGATGGGTGGTGACCATGGTGGTCATTTAGAAGTCGGCCATCTTGGATACAACTTTTGTTTTTTCAATAGGAAGAGGGCCATGTGACACATCAAACTTATTGGTAATGTCACAAGAAAAACAATGGTGTGCTTGGTTTCAACGTAACTTTATTCTTTCATGAGTTATTTACAAGTTTCTCTTTGTTCACAGCCATTGACATGTCAAAGAGGTTAACACGTGAGGAGCGGGTCGAAATTGTGTTGATATCTGGTGAACGCAGTTTTTCTTGTGACATTACCAATACGTTGGTCCTGGAAACTCATCACTTTTCCATCTTTCAACAAGGTAATGTGTGTGATGAGACCTTTATTAGCCCATGTTTTAAATGTCAAGTCGGTCTCTGGGTCATATGTAAACCAACTAAGGAATCCGGCCCTCTGGTTTAATTTATACTTTTTAAGTACTCTTTTCCATGTCTTTATTGAGCTTACTATCCAAGGGTTGCCCGGGAATCATAACTCTGAGGGATCTCCTATCAGTGCCCCAACAGGGAAGTTACCTCCCAAGGAAAGTTCCACTTCCTTCCATCTTGAACAGTATCCAGGTTTACACCAGCCCACCAGATTTCTTATTTGTGTTGCCGTATGATAGTCATATAGGCAAGGGAGGCCTAGTCCTCCTTTATCTTTGGGAAGCTGAAGTGTTTTAAACTTAGCTCTTGGGTCCTATCCCATTCTGCAAAGTATCTGTCAGGGTTTTCTATAGAAATTGTAATATCTACCATGATATCTTTTTTAAGTTGGGAGTAGTTGATTTCTTCCAAACTGGTTATATCCATTGATTAGTTAATGCCCAAATATTTGATAATTTTTTTGTCCCAGCCTAGTTTGTATTTGCTGAGCAAATTGGGGGGGGGGGGGGGGCTATAAAAGCTACTAAGAACTTGTGTTTTTTGTATATTCAGTTTCTATCCCGAGTAGGACCCATACTCCTTTAACACTGACATAAGCTCCATAAATGATTCAGTAGGTTTTTATATGTAAACCAAAACATCATCTGCAAACAAGGCCAATTTCTGTTCACTTCCAGCAATATTAATCCCTTTTATTTGATCATTCTGCCTAATGCTTTGAGCCAACGGCTCTATAAAAATGGCAAATCAGAGTGGACTCAGTGCATCCTTATCTTGTGGACCTCTCAAGCTTGAAAGCATCTGAAAGTTCACCTTTGATCTTTATTTTTGCAGTTGGACTATTATAGCACTCAATATTGTAATGATCGACCCATTAAACCCAAATTTACGCATTACTTGGAATAAAATTTCCCATCTCACAGAGTCAAAAGCTTTTTCAGCATCTAGACTCAATAATATAGCTGGTATTTTATTTAAATTAATATGTCTAATAATTTGCAGAGTTCTCTTAACACTATCATGGGTTTGGCGCGACCTAACAAATCCAGTTTTGATCTAGATTTATTATCCTTGGGATGATGCCTTCAAGTCTATGTGCTATGATTGACGTAAACAATTTGTAAGCTACATTTAATACACTTATTGGCCTGTAGTTGGAACATTCTAATTAGTCTTTACCATCTTTAGGTATAAAGATAGATTGTGGCTGGTTTCCGTGTGGAGGGTGCTTCTCCCTTCGTAAGGACACAATTAAATGTTTTAAGTAAGACCGGTGTGAAAGGTTCCCTTAATTTCTTGTACCACTCTGCAGTAAAACCATCTGTACCTGGAGATTTGTTTGCCTTGAGTTTACCAATTGCCAAGTGAAGTTCTTCCCTTGTAATTTGCTTCACTAACGATTTTTCTTCTACTGTAAGTTTAGGGAGGTGTAGCATGTCAAGCAAACTCTCCATTTGATCGTCATCGTTTGTGGGTGGTTGTAAATATAATTTTTCATAGTATCTCTTAAAGCAATCCTTAATTTCCTCTATACCCTGCATTTCCATTTTGGTTTCCAGATCCCTTATCGTGTATATTGTTCTGTCTGCTTGTTGTTTCCTTAATCTATATGCCAATTGTTTCATATATTTACCTCCCCCCTCATAATATCTTTGTTTGGTCAACATTAGTTTCGTTTGGACGTCTTGGGTGTATATCTCATCAATTCGATTTCTCTTCTTTGCCATTCTAATTTTGTCTTAGTATCAATAGTATTTTTGTGTGTGGCCTCTAATTGTAATAGTTCCAACTGCAACTTCTGGAATCTTGCAACTTTGGATTTTTTAATATTAGAGGTTATAGTAATAACTTTTTCCTCTCATCACTGCTTTGCACGCATCCCACAAAACTCATCTTTATCATTGAATTCCAGGTATTCAGCAATGTCTTTTGTCAAATGTTCACATGTCCGTTCATTCAGTATACTAGAATTTAATTTCCAGTTGGTTATTTTTCTCCTTTGAGTAGGATTTAAAGATAAATATAGAGGGCAGTGGTCGGAAACGTCCATTGACCCGATATGGCACTCATGTATTCTGTTCATGTCAGTACCAAAAGTGAGGAAGTAGCCAATTCTCGAATAGGTTGCATGTAGATGTGAATAGTAAGTATAGTTCCTTGCTGTTGAGTTAAGGTTCCTCCAAGTATCCACCAATCCCATCTCCTCTATCAGAAGGTTTAGTTTTCTAGTTAGTTTTTGTGATAGAGATATTCTCATCCCCGATGCGTCCAGATGTGGTTTTAATGTAATATTAAGGTCTCCTCCACAGACAAGTAGTCCCTGTGCCTCTGTCACTACTTTCTCGAATACTTGCCTATAGAAATCAAATGTGGAACCTGGAGGAATATAAACATTATAGAACGTGATCAATTCCCCATCCAATTTGCCCTGTACCAGGATAAATCTGCCTTCTCTATCCCTAATTGTAGCAAAAAGTTAAAAAATAACCCTACCTGATATTAAAATAACCACCCCTCTTGTATGTCTTAAACCATTTGAAGAGTAATAAGCATGCTTGAAACCTTGTCTCTTAAGTTTCTCGTGCTCAAGGCCCACCAAATGAGTCTCTTGTAGAAATGCCACATCAATATCCTCTCTTTTCAGTTTACTAAGAATTTTTCCCTGCTTTGCCCGGCTTTGGAGCCCATTTACAGTAAGTGAGAGTACCTTTAACGTTGGACTTTATTATAACCAGATAGAGCCATGAATGTGCATTCCAAATGTCACTGAGGTAAAACGTTGCACCCCCACTGTTAACACAAAACTAAGATAGGTACAAAAAAACAATAGAGCCCATATGGAGTCCTCCAGTTACTCAGGATCGTTCAACCCCTTTAGGTCCCTGTTGGGGAGAGGAGAGTAAGGACCCACCATACGGTGGGAGCTCTCCCTAGTGTTGTGGCGACTATCCAGCAGGTACATCCCACTTACACTAGATGAATCCAACATATATGGCAACTTATAAAGCTGATCAACTGAACTATCAACGCACCAACTTGAACAGCAATGAAACCAAATGGTGCATATTCCCTTCTTATATAGTCTGTTTGCTTGTGAGTTTAGCTCTTATCCTCCTTGTCATTCATATTTAATAGTCTCTTCTATATTCCCGCAGTTTGCGTCGGACTTGAGTTTCCATTCGTGGCCTTCTGTCCCTCTCCGTTTCCACTCCGTGCCATGAAAATGCGTTATGTACTCTCTCTTCAGTGCTGGGTCCCGGGTTCCAACTCAATGCCCCGTGCTCTCAGCTCCTTCACTGTGTCCTCGCAAGTCTGTGGGCCAGTGCTCCAGTGGATGCAAATCCGCTTGAAGGGCGTTTGGAACCGAATGTTTCTCTCTTTTAGTGCCTTTTTTATTCCCGTGTAGGATTTGCATTTCTCCATGACTTCAAAGGCATAGTCGTGGTCAAAAAGAAATCTACTTGTTTCCCAGAAACACTTTTTTCTTCCAGGCAAGCCTAAGTCCCTCTGCCCTAAGTCCTTCTATGTCCCTTTGCCTCCGCAATGGCCTTACCCTGTGACTGCTGTGTAGCCACACATTCGAGTAGCTTTTGGTTTAGTTCCTGTTTAAACGCTGCCAACTCATCGGCCAGCTTTTTGCCAGTGTCCTCCGTGAGTCCCAGCAATGATTCTTGGACTTTATCTTTAAAGCTGCCAAGCTCCTTGGACACTTTTGCGATCTCCCGGAGGATGATGCTATCTCCTCCTAACTCAGGCAACGCTGACTCATGGCTAGGTAGCAAGCAGCCGCCATCTTCCTTGTCGTGTGGTTCCATTCTTTTTTGGATCTTTGCCTCCTCAGTCTTCGATTGGTTAGTGTTTTTCTGTCCTCTTTTAGATTTTCCCTTTTTCATCCCTTTTTGAAAGGGCTGACGTTATTACTTTCAAGTCTGGAGGCCGCAATTTAGTTCAGTTGGAACAGAGCTCAGTGACTATGCGTCCATTGTGCTGCCACGCATCACCGGGAAGTCCCAGCCTCCGGCGATATAGGATATTCACTCCAAGTATGGTGAACTGTGAGTATAGTCTTAAGACATTCAAGCACACTCTAAACACTTTCCCCCAGTATTTTTTTTAAAAATATTTTTACAAATATTAGGAGTTTCAGTGTTTAGTAAATTAAATGACAAAGGTGATATTGATATGATGCTTCAGGACAGGTCACTTTTTTTTTTAACATGTACTGATGTAGCATTTATAGATCATGTAGTTCATGTTTATCATGAGGTTTGATTATGAATAAATACTTATCTTGCTAGACAACAGCTGTAAATCTGACTGAGTGTAAAAGTTGTTGAAAATTTCATTGAAATACTGGATGTCTATGAGGTATCATATCATCCAAGCAGAGAACTGTGTGAAATTTTACACATCTGTCCACTCAGTAGCTCTGAAGCTAAACTAAAAACTAAATAATCAGGAGCACAATGAATTCTTGGTGGCTTTTACTTTGTGGAGTAAGAAATCAAACTATCATCAATCAAAAAAACAAAACAGATATTGCAACAAATATAAGAATCTGATATGTTGATATGATCCCAATATGTATTTTATTTAAAATGTTGCAAGTTCTCCATCACAGTTAGGAAGACAGTCATTAAATGTATATGGAAAAGTAATAGGCTTAATATTATGTTTTATAGCTTGTAGCCATGCTACTGCAGTATAGGTATAATAGTGTTATAGTTAAATTAATTACTAGAATATAATTTAGTCTGTTAACACTTTTCTGCTCACTGATAAACAAACAAAGTAACACTTAGGCTGGGAATCTTGTTGTGGTGCATTATGATCACATATCGAAAATTTCCACAGTTGGACTAAAAATCCAACCTGATACAAAGTATCTTGATACATAACTCATAAAGGAGAAAAGAAAATTACATTTTAAATTCAACAGAGAATTTGACATAGTAGTGACGCAGAAACACAGAAAGTGATTATAATCAAAGCAAGTATAGCCAAGATGACATGAGGAATTTTGTTTCATTATTATTAGTAGTAGTAGTAGTAGTATCATCTCAGGTTATTTCTTTGTTCTCATCGAATGGGTGAATTTTAATTTATTAAAAAAAACAAACATGTTACATAAAATAATAAAAGCTTGTTTGGCAGACTAACACCTGCTTGTCACAGGTTTCTCTGATTTGCCTGTGATGGGCATGTGTGACACTGATGCTACTGTGGTCAGTCCTCAGCATTTTCAAGTCACACACTGAGGTACCTTACATTACCTGTGGTTTATCTGTGCTTTGTATGAAAACACCTACAAGCAAAGCAGCTGTCCTGCCTTCTGCTCCGCATCATTTGCCCAATGTTTGTCCACATCACGCTTTGTTTAGTGACAATATGTATATCTTCGCAGTTTAGTCTTGCAAGAGTAAGTTTCCCAGATAACCAGCAGACACACCTTTGCTCTGCTGCTGCTGACTAATACAGCTGTCAACAAATTTTTTTTTTAATGTGGCAATTATTTAAGGAGATGATTATTCTGTAGTATACCAAATAAAACAGTTTCCATTCAAAAAACAGCTGGAATACAACACTTTCACTTGCAACATTATGGTAAGGAATTTTTTCTCGTTACATTGTCACAAGTGTTACTTGTTAGTTAAATACTAATAATAGTGCATATCTGTTACTTGAATCCAAAATGTTATTACCATTTTTATCCATAAATCCTCCTGATTGCGATTACAGGAGCTTCTTCCGTCACTCAAGCGAACCATGATTTTGATCTTCAAGACAGGTATGTGTTTTGTTAAGCACAATGAAAGTGTTTGAGTTTCAGTTTTAACAACAGTGTGTTCAGTAGCTAATCAATGACGTTAAATATAGTAAAAGTATGAGCATTAAATCTGGAGAGAGACAATTGAATTGACAACTACTGAATTCACTTCAGCCAAATCCCATTGCAAGCCAAACACTACGACGTAATTACACTCAGATTCATGATTTTGTTGCCTCATCAGCTCTTTGCAGTGCTTACATGGTGAACTGCTCTGCACCAGACAAACCTGCCCTGCTGGAGTGTCTGTCTCCAGTCTTTGAAGTAAGTGACATATGGTCTGTGGAGAAAATGACAAATTCCACCGATGTCAGCACTTTCTTCGCTCTGTGTGAGATACTAGGAGCGGTATGTCACCTGTCACATGAGCTTATTTACAATGTCATTAGTGCTTCCCAACAGTGTGTATGCATATTTTATATTTTGGTATCTATTGTATCTGAAACTGTTGAGTTGAAGGACTGTCACAAACTAGTTCAAACTTCTTCAAAGAGAGGCTTTCTGTGTTAGAGACTTTTTGTTCTGGTCTTCCAGGATGAAAAGGCTGAACTTCTCCTCACTTATTATTGCACTATGTACTGCAATAATTTTAGTAGCCATGCAGGGGTTTGCCTACTATTTGTGCTGATACCAATTTTGTTGTTTTAGTCTTGGATCAATGAGTTTGTCAGTTGGGACCCATTTCAGTGGCGTACTGAGCTGCTACATCTCCCCGGAACCAAATTGTGTGTTCCAGAGCCTGTAATCAACGAGCTGTAAGTACAAAATAATTTACTCTTTATCTCAAACTCCGCACAAGTATTTCCTAAAGAGCAGACATCTAGAAACTCTAAAAATCAATGTTTCAACATTATGTGGGATACTCTGTTGTTGTAAATGCCACAAATCCTCTGTGCCTTTGTTTTGAAATTACAAATCTAACTTATATGCAAATAAGAGAATATGATTACACTTAATTAAAAACCCTAAATCTAATCCCGTGATTTGAGAATGTTGAATTTTTGGATTTTGAAAATGGTTCTCCTGAATATTGTTCAAAAAGACACATCAAGAAGTATTTTTACAAAATAATTTAGTTTTAGTTTGTTGCTGTGACATAATGGGGTTATTGTTGGGGTTGTTTGTCAACATCAACAGTGCTTTTAATTTATGCCATGTCCTCATTTCACACATCTATTCACAAAAAAACATCCTGTTCCCTGTGTAGTAATAGTACGGTGGATGACGGTCTACCTGTCAAGGCTGTCAGCTCTTGTAACCTTGATATCTGCACCGTCTCCTTTAACATACAAAACTGTACTTATACCTTCAACCCCTACTTGCACTTTGGTAAGAACATTTAACACTTATGCATATCAGTTTCACCCTTTTTACTTATATCTAAATTGAATGTGGGCTTTAAGTGAGCTCTGACTAAAGTCAGCATTTTTCTCTTCACTTTTCTTCCCCGCATAGCGAGCGACATAAAGATTTTTCTTGGAAGACCTGCAGAAATAAAGGCAATAGTCTCCAAGAGTTTGATGGTCACCATGTGTGAATGGGAGCTACCGGATATCACCTCAGATAAAGCAACAGAGAATGATATTAACAGTGATGGTTTATGTGCTGATGAGTTTAAATTTCATGTAAGTTGATTCTAATGAGAAGCTACAATAAATAGTAAGATAAAATCAAAGCTATGTTGTAATTTTTCCCCTATATTTTTTAAATGTTTAACATTATTGCAAAATTAAAACACACCTAAAAATATAAATTCAGTCTAAATCCTGAATTATACAGTTATATCAAACATTCATGTACCAGGTAATGACAAGCATGGTTCACAGCTTAAGAGTACCTCAGTTATCTCTTCTTTTCTTTCCACAGATCAGATTGAGGTGCCGGGTCACTAAGTATATGGTAAACGTCCTGTTCCTCAGCTGCTTTCCACATAGTGTGGACAGGTCCGCTTTCAAGATGACCCTCATCCTCAGCTATACCGTCTTCCCGCTGATCATGAATGACCTGCTGCCGGGCACTGGAAACACCATACCCCTCATATGTGAGTAACACTCAACAAAAAGTCTACACTGATTTCTTGAAACTGGCTACAGTTGTGTTTGAATAGAAACTGGACTGGGAACATTCTTCTAGAGTGTGTAAAAAATTACAGTATAGAGAAAAATATGTAATCTTACATGGAACGGGTTTCCATGCCAACAGTATTTAATGCTAATGTCCAGGCACACGCACAAATTCTGTCAACTAGGCTGCGACATTGTAAATCTGTATTGTTTCTGGGCCTCAGCACACACCGTTATCTCTCTGTAGATGTTTTTTTTTCCATCTGCCTGCCTCTGATGGTGGCCAGTTTGCGACAAATAAACCCCATCACCAACCTGCTGTGTGGGTCTGCTGACTTCTCTCCCGTCCTTCACTGGATCCGAGTCCTCACACAATTTCTGGGATTTCTTGTTTCCATGGCACCAATGAATAAGAAATCAAGAGCTTCGGGTATGTAGTTTTTAAGTAGCTTTGAAGTGGTTAACAATCAGTAGCATGAGGAAATTCAGGATAACAGAAATAATTGATTTTACAGAGTTCAAAATAATTTATTTTGCAAAGTTTGCAAAGACCTAAATCAAACAATCCTCGGCACATGAACTACTCCACAGGAAGGCAGCACAGAATAATAAAAAACAAAATAAACGGCACATATTGAGGGGTTGTTGTGATTGTAAATAATAAACAATAACTGAACATTGATATGTTCTCTTCACAACCTGTGCAATCAATAATGACTCAATTAACCACACATGTACCTATCTATTTGTTTATATTTCTATACTGTTTATACAATATTTATTTTCAGAACATATTTTTTATTTTTTATTTATGTATTTTTTCAATAGTTAAACTGATTGTTTGCTTCCCTTGCTTTGCACTGAATGGAGTAGCACATCATTTTGTTGTGCTATTAGCATTATGGCACTAAAGATTCTGATTCTGATACTTTTTCTCTCATTGATTTAGAAATAGACCTTAAGACCACGACTGCTGTGGAAAATATTGAAGATTATGAAGGGCCTCAAGAGAAAAATGGGCCAGCAGTGGAGGACGGGGCTGTGCAGGAGCTAAAGAAAGGGGGCAAGGACCTCCAAGACATCCACCGGCAAGTCAACCAAGGCTCAGAGGACTGGATGCAGGTATTCAAATATTTATCTATTTTGAGTGTACAAAAAATACATTGTAAATATGTTTGCCAACCTTTATGGTCTTTTAGGATGGAGCCTTGGATATTTAATTTGTTTTTAAGACTGGAAAAACATTAAAAAATAATGTTGTGATATCATGAAAACAGAGGCTCTCCCTCTTATTGAAAACCCCAACAGATATTTCTGTATTTCCTGAGATTATATTAATAATATGTTTACACAGTGTTACCAGTTACAAAATGTAATTTTATCTGCAACTTAAGAATACAATGATGATTATACCATATTGCAGTGTGGTACTTAACCCAAGTAATCTAAAACATCAGTTTCAAGACCAAGATACACCTCATTCATTATTCACACTTGTAACTACGGTACTGTTGATTGTGTATATCTAACAGATAAAAGATATAAACCTGCTTTTACATTGTGGGCATACAAGGAAGGTTTGCATAAATTTCTTACCAGATGTTTAACAGATCTAAGATGAAGAAATATTTAACAACGTCAAGGTTTAACAGTTAGGTTCGATTTGAACGTTGATTTTTTTAATGACCTGTAATGACTGTCTTTAAAAAGATTCCCACGCCACTATCACACCACTCAAACTGACAACCACAGTTTTAATGTTTTCAGTGCTGCTCGCTGAAAGTCAGGCCTTCAAAGCTTCTATTAATCTTCATCTCTCTGCTCATGCATGGTAAGTTCCTATAATGTACAAATACACATTTATTTATATTATTAAAAAATAACTAATTCTTATATTACTGATTATTTGAATCTCCTGTGTAATTAATTGTTGATGTGTTGATTTTCTCACAGTCACTATCCAAAATACTAAATAGTATTTAAACATATAAATGACACATTGTAATGGTTCATCAAACTGTGTTATTATTTGCACTATACCGCTTATTTTATGTGCATGATCTACAGTGTCAGACATCTTATTAAAAAATAATCTTATTACAAAATGATGTTATACCTGTTGAAATTCCGAACTGCAAATGTGATTTCCTATAGTCTGATTATAACACCTATTAAAGGATAAAGTGTACATGTTTTGTATTGGAGGATTTTTTTTAAATTTAAGGTCGTTGTACTTGACTTGTTCACTTTGTCAGCGCCACTCACACTGACAGTTAGCTAGTCTTATAAATATTCAAGGAAAAGGAAACATGAGGTCCTAGCAGCCAAAAATTGTCTAAAATACACATTTAGCCAGAAATGTTATGGACCATGTTGTCCAATTCATTCCTGTCTAGATTTTAAAGATTTTACTTTTAGATTAAAAACTGAAATTCAAATTTGAAACTTGATAAAGTCAAGTTTAGATTTAGATGTAGATATACATGATGCCTCACTCGTATTTGGGTCGCGTTTTCCAGAGTTGTAATTGTGGGCGTTCAGACAAAGGTATTTGCTGCGACATCATAAGGGCACATTTCTTCTTTCCCTCGTAGCTCAGTACAGCTCCACCATACTGAACTGCTCCAACCCTGATACACCGTCAGTGCTGGAGGCTCTTTCGCCAGTCTTCAACCTGAACGCCATTCGACCTGTGGTGAACATAACAACAGTCACTAACGTTGGCCTTTTCTTAACTGTGTTTGGCATTTTGGGAGTGGTAAATGACACCTTTGTTACCATGAAACCATTTCATTATTAGATCATGTGCATGCACTTTTCTGCATACTGTACAACATTAAGAGCATAAAATGGTCAAAAGCAATTTTCCATGAGGGCAATTTTCTATTTTTTTGAGAATAAATAAATTAAAATCTTCTTTTTCAGGATGAGAAAGCCCAGCTCCTCACAACATTTCTATGGCCAGATATTGTAAGCAGTTTTTTCATAGTACATTTTCAAGCAATAATGAAACAGCTGATTTCTACCCATATATATGCATAAAAAAATGTTTTTATAGATGAAAGTTTAAGTTTTGCCCTTGAAATCTTTTTGGGCAGCAAATAGGCAAACCCATTAGTGACATAAAAGTGTTAAGATAAAAGAAAAGTTTTTGGGGTTCCCTTTTAAATTTAATTATCTCGAGTTTTTAAATGGTAGCCAGCAGGTTTTATATTGTGTTTATGTTTACATCTGCATGGTTTGTGTTGCAGCAATGGGAAAATGAATTCACCAAGTGGGACCCAGAAAACTGTGGAACTACTCGGATTTCAATTTCAAGAACAAATCTCTGGGTACCAGATATTGTAATCAATGAAATGTAAGTGCCATCTTCAATAATTCGCAGATTAAGATCATTTCTTTTTTATGTATATGTGTGATCTTGAGACCTAGCCTGACGCATCATTAGCCAATAAAGCGCTAACTCTACTAAGCAGCAAAAACAAAAATAGAGAAGGTGCATACAGGTGAAAGTAGAAAGGCATGGTCTCTGTGCATACTGTTGTCAGGAAATATTTGAGTTGTGACTCCAACTAATTTCCATCTATCCGTTTTCTTGCTCTTATCTGGTCGCGGGGTCAGCAGCATCAGCAGAGAAGCTCAGATTTCTCTCCCAAGCCACCTCCTCCAGATTAGTTAGGGGAACAACGAGGCATTCCCAGGCCAGTCAAGAAAAATAATCTTTCCAGCTTGTCCTGGGTCTTCCCCGGGACCTCCTCCCATTGAGATGTGTCAAGCACACCTCACCAGGACGCATCCTTATCAAATGCCTGACCATCATAACTGGCTCCTTTCAACTGTTGTAGTTTGCTGTGTGACAGACCCAAATGCAGGACTTATACACGGGGGAGTAAACCCAAAACAGCAGCTTTATTGCTGGAAAAACTCCAACACTGATACAAAAAACAAAACCAAAAAATAAGAAACTAGAATCATGAAACTCAAACCAAAAGCCTAAGAAACTAGGAAACTTAAAGTGGGAGTACGGAAGAAACACACGCAGCACAGAGGTACATCATGGTTAACAACATGACAATGGACAGAGGAAAACACAGGGCTTAAATACACCAGGGAGTAACGAGGGAATGGAAAACAGGAGGGAAACAGCTGGGACTAATCTGACATAACGAGACGAAGGGGAAGCAAAACTCAAAACAGTGAATGCAGGACACAAGACTATCAAAGTAAAACAGGAAACAAAAGACAGGTGCAGAGACGCAGACTTGACAAGGAGGCAAGGCTGACAGAGAAAACAGAGTGAACGTGAAGCACAGAGGCAAGAGTAGAAACTGCGACATGGAGACACGGCTGACTGGGGACACACAGGGAACACAGAGACAGGGGAGAGTAGACATGAAACGTGGGACACGGGAACAGAAACTCAACACAGGCTAAGATGAACACTGAGGGAGGGAGCACTAAGATTCCTGAGAGCTTAAGAAATTAAGATAACCAAAACCAAGAACAACAATAAACAAAGAATATTTAACCAAAAACACAAACACTGGGTCACCAGACCCAGCACCTTGACATCAACATGGAGAAGTAGCAGCTCTAGTCCGAGCAAAGTGGTCCTGAGCTAGGATAGTAACTCCATCCCAAGCAGGGTGAATGGTTCCTTTGGTCGTGTACACATAAGGGTCTTCTGAAGGCTCTTCTCTTTGTGTGATCCCTCACCCAGGACCAATTTGCCATGCGAGGGGACAAAGCTCCCTGACAGCATAACCCCTGGGATCAGTAGGACACACAAACCCCTCCACTACTATAAGGTAGCGATTCACATAGGTGTCCAACTGATGTCAGTGGAATAACATAACAATAGTGTGGATAAATGGTAAATGGTAAATGGCCTGTATTTATATAGCGCTTTACTAGTCCCTAAGGACCCCAAAGCGCTTTACATATCCAGTCATCCACCCATTCACGCACACATTCACACACTGGTGATGGCAAGCTACATTGTAGCCACAGCCACCCTGGGGCGCACTGACAGAGGCGAGGCTGCCGGACACTGGCGCCACCGGGCCCTCTGACCACCACCAGTAGGCAACGGGTGAAGTATCTTGCCCAAGGACACAACAACCGAGACTGTATAGTAGGATAATAGAGCAGCTTGGTAAGACTGCTATCCACTATATGAAGGTATAATCTTTTTGATCTGCCTCCTACAATATTTAGCAGACAGAACGAAGCAGACAAGTTAACACTTAGCAGTCATACTTAATATTAGGCGGCACTCTACATATCAACTGTAAGCCCTTTCTTCATACATTTTCTATTTCTGCCATGTAGCTATCTGAGTAAACTTAATTTTAATAATGAGGGCTCTATCAGCATACAGGTGCTTGTGTTTCTAAATTTTATGTCTTTCATCTTCCTGCAGCATGGATGAAAACACTGCTCCAAACGTCCCATATACCTACGTGCTTTCTAATGGCATTGTGAGTGATTCACAGCCTGTCAAAGCTGTCACCTCGTGCAGGCTTGACATCTACTTGTTTCCATTTGACATTCAGAACTGCACTTTAACCTTCAACTCATTCACACTCAAGAGTAAGTTCATGAGGATCTATCACAGTCTGTCCTATGAAATGAATGGTTTAGTTTATAATACAGTAAAATTATTTCACTGACATTGATATGAATAATCTTGTCTGACAAATTGACTATTTTCCATGCAGGTAATGCTCTGCAGCTTTATCTGACAGAGACTCCAGAGAGGATGTTTGAATACTCTAAATCAAGGATGGCAACGATGGGTGAATGGGAATTAATTGGAATTACAGCAAAGAAATACACACTACCATCTACAGCATCGGGCTTTTATGATGAAATTCGCTTCCATGTAAGACACTCTTACACTGTAAAACTATAATGTTATTGTATGATTTAATTATTCATACTATAAGAAAACGGAGGACACAAAGGCAAAGGCTTTTAGAAAGTAATCCGAAACAAGAGTTTTCTCTTCATTATCAGATATTTAACTGTTCAGTTAGTATATCAGAGGAACTTAGGATCTATAGAACATTTAAATCAAATACATCTAAAAGTTCTAAAAACATCAAGAACACCCAGGAACATCAGCACCGTCCTTAGTGTTAAGTTCTCACTTTGCTGCAGATCTCATTGCGGCGCCAGGCCATGCTGTACGTAGTGAACCTCCTGCTCCCCAGCTGCTTCCTCATCACTGTGGACCTCTTCAGCTTCATCTTGCCTCCCAATGAAGTCGACCGGTCTTTGTTCAAGATGACACTAATCCTGGGCTACACCGTCTTCCTGCTCATAATGAATGACCTGCTGCCCGTTACTGGCAATGCCATACCTCTCATAAGTGCGTTTACATTGTCTGGTTTGGTATACATTTCGTCCCAATGTGACTTTTTGGCCCAAATACAAAAGGGTTGCTTGTTCTGACCTACCTAGAGATTTAACAGTATAACTACCATAATGTAATGATGAAGCTACATGTGAGAAAGAAAACGATGTATAATATATTCTTAAAAGTAATAATAACAATATTGATAATGGATAGCATTTATATAGCGCTTTTCAAGGCACCCAAAGCGCTTTACAATTCCACTATTGATTCACTCTCACATTCACACACTGGTGGAGGCAGCTACAGTTGTAGCCACAGCTGCCCTGGGGCAGACTGACAGAAGCGAGGCTGCCATATCGCACCATCGGCCCCTCTGGCCAACACCAGCCAAAGTTTACCTTTAAAAAGTACAATTCATCATATCTAATCATTAACTAAGTGCCAGGTTATACTGCACAGTTATTTTTGGCTATTTTGTTTCAGCTTTGTGTTTCTAGGTCTGCACATTTCAGTTTAGTTCTTATTATATGAAAATGTTTAGTTTTAATTTAATTTTTATTAAATTAAATTAGTTTCAGTGTTAGTTTGGGTCTTTTTAATTATTAATTTTAAATAATGAATAACAAATATGTCAGACTCAAGATTTAGGAAAATCAATATATGCATTACAGCAAACACACAAAATTTTTGAGAGCAGTTGAGTCACAGTCTCATAGATTAAAGCGTCATCTGTGACAATTTTTGTCACCGAGCTGACAGGGGCTGAGGATATTTCTTAAATAGTTTACGGCTTGTCTCCGTTCCTTTGAAAATATTCATGATTTTAATTTTTAAATATTTTGTCTGGATTTAACTTGTATTTGTCTGTAAAATGTAAACATTAATTATTATTCCACTATCATTTTTATAGATGTTTTCCTGTCTATGTGCCTGACTATGATGGTGGGCAGTCTACTGGAAACTATTGTCGTTACAAGCTTCCTGCACGGTTCCTCTAACTATTCTCGAGCTCCTCGCTGGATCAGAGTGCTTTTTCTTAAAATCCTGGGTCGACTAGTATGCCTTCCTCCAAAGCCCAGAGATCGGAACGACACAGTGATCCAAAATCCAGTCACACAGGGTAGGAAACAAGATCAGGATATGCAAATTCTTAAAAAAATGTCAAAGCTGACATAATCTTCTGACTTGTCTCCGCTCAATAGAAATGCCAATCTACTCTCCAGTGGCAGAGGAATCCAAGACTCTGGAGCAGAAGGGGCCACTGGGTGAGGACAAAACCCTGCAAGAGCTGAGGAGCCTGGGCAGAGGCCTCCAGGCTATCCACCTTCAGTTGGAGAAGCATCTGAGCAAAAGCACGAGCACAGAGGAATGGATCCAGATAGGTTTAATCATAGACCGCCTGCTGTTCATCCTTTACATCATCTTTATAACAGTCAGCTTCATTACCATCATCATTATCTGGGTGGTTTCATACAATGCGGCCTAATTTAACTTTTTAACTTGTCTGTTCTTTAAACTCTTTGTATTGTATGTTTTGTCATTTTAGTATGCCAGTTATGCAAATAAATATATAGCAGAGCCCTGTTTTCCAACAAAGCCCTTCATCTGTCTTAAATTTCAATGACTTTGTGAACCAATAAGACAATTAAATCAAGATATTTTAAAGTCCAGATAATAAATCTTACAAATATTCTAAGCTATGTAAAAGCATCTTAACTGATGATCGTTTTATATTGAGTTCTTGTGAACCCTATACATACATCTTCTATAGCAGCAGTTTTCTGTATTTGATGTTTGGTGCTAAATTACTCAAAAGGCTTCAAAATTAAAATAAAATAAAATAATAAAACAAAAGCACTCATAGTGTGCAACCCCCACACTATGGTGTATTTTATTATCTTCACCCATTTTGGCTGAAATTGTTTGCTTCTATAAGCTGTAAAATTCCTTTAAAGCCTGAACCACACTAGAGGATCCTTTTTTTGTTTTTGAAAATG